CACCGAGCCTCTGGTATTAAATAAAGCACATGAGCCCTGACAAGTGTTTCTCAGTGGTTAGAGTGCCAGCCCTTGCACCAAAGGGCCGCAAGTTTAATTTCCAGTCAAGGGCATATTCCTGCAGATTCAATTCCCATACCTGGTTGGGGCAGGAGCAGGAGAAACATCTCACATCCATGTTTCTCTCTCTATCTTTCTTTTCTCCTCACTCGCTCCCTCCCTCCCTTCCACTCTCTCTGAAAAGCAACAGGAAAAATATCCTTTGGTGAAGATTAACCAAAAAATAAAATAAAATGAAGTACACAAACTTCAGTCACAGGTATGTTCCTCAGCCTTTATCCAGAACCTAATTACATTTATTTTACAGAAAACTAAGAAGAATGGACAGTTTCTTAAACCATTACAATTAAGAAGTAGCAAAAGAACAAAAAAAAATTGCTGCAAGCCTGCACACTGAGAACAGAGGGAAGACACCCACCACAACGAGTATGACAGAAAAACTATATTTAAAGAATAGGACACAGAGCTGACACAGAACTGCAGCATGAAGCCATAAGTTTAAAGATAAAATGCCCCACTTGATAGGATCATTGTATTATAAAACCCAGTAAAATAATATGCTCATGATGCTAACCCTGAGTCATAGAGAAAATTAAATTATGTTCAGGATACATTTTAGAAAACAGGAGAACATAAAAAAATAATTTTAGTATTTTTCTAATTATAAAAATTATAAATGCACATTACAGAAAACAAGAAACATACAGCGAAGAATATGTTTTAGAAAGATATCAACCAGAATAATTAAACTTTTAAAAAGTAAATTTTGACACTTAAATCATTAATCTCAATTATCCACAAAACTAATTCCCCAAACAATGTCAGATAGTTTTACTATGCTCAGAGCAAACCCTGTGGGATGTAATTAAAAGTAATAGAGTATTGCTCAATCTCAAAACTAATGATTACTAGACATGCAGCTCGAATACAACTTACTTAAGTGCATGTCTAATTTGAGCTCCAGATCCACATTCCAATGACCCGAGAGACAGCAAGGATAGCCATTAAAGATTCAGACTTGGATCCAGGCAGACTGCCATTCATTCAAGTCTCAGCTCTGTTTAGTAGCGAGGTGACTCAGACATGTGAAAAAAGTTGGGCAAATAATAAGGTTACATTGCCCTAACCGGTTTGGCTCAGTGGATAGAGCGTCAGCCTGCGGACTTAAGGGTCCCAGGTTCGATTCCAGTCAAGGGCATGTACCTTGGTTGCGGGCACATCCCCAGTAGGGAGTGTGCAGGAGGCAGCTGATCAATGTTTCTCTCTCATCGATGTTTCTAACTCTCTATCTCTCTCCCTTCCTCTCTGTGAAAAAGCAATAAAATATATTTAAAAAATAATAAAAAAATAATAATAATAAGGTTACATAAGATCCTCTTCATCATCTTATCATCATTACTCTTACTAATGTCCTTCCAGAAATGTTCATGTTAAATTCTAAGAATGGTGAGCAAGTACAGCCAAAGCTTAAGTAAAACAAACCTAGTAAATCCAATCAATATACTAAGCACCTATTTATGTGCTAGAGAGCTATTGTAGGAATTGAGCTTGAAAAGGCAGATAGGTATATATCCATCCACCCAACCCCCAAAATAAAAACTTCATCCTGTGATTCTTATTTCTGTTAAAGGCACCAATATTCCCTCAGCTGTTTAAGCATTAAGCATCCTTGTCTAATCCCTCTCCATCACCCTCTATATCTGGTTACCTATAGATATACATTGGCTGTCATATCTGTTAATCTACTCATCTAATTCCTACAACCACCTGGTCAGATACTCATTACTCCAATACAGCCTTTTACTTAGTGTTCCTATTTTTAGTTTGTTCCCACCTACCTACCATGCTACTCCCAGTAGTAGGTAGGAATGTGTTTTATATAAGTCACTAAATATTTAATGTTTCTAGTGCTCCTTTTTTCCCCTGAGCCTGCTAATCAAACTCCAACTTTACGTATGATGAATACATATGCTATCTGTATATTTTTTAAAAATTAAGCTATTAAAATACATAGTCATTTCTTTAAGAACCAAATACCAAAGTTAATTTTATAGATACACTATTTCAAAAGAAAAACAGGTACAGCTTAATTAGTGCAGCCAGAGGGAAATATGTTTTACAGAATGTTATTGCTTATCATACCTTATTTTACACATTGGTTTCACACACAAGAACTACTAATAAAGTATAATCTGGAAAGTTCTAGACTGGTTCTATAACTGTCTAGCTATATCACTTTAAGCAAGTTATATTATTAATCTACTAAAGGCCCAGTGCACGAAGTTTGTGCACGGGGGGATGTCCGATTGCCAGTTTAGGCCCGATCCCGTCATCCCAAAGGGACCTAACTGCTGGCTTCTAACCACTCGCCTGCCTGATTGCCCCTAACCACTCTACCTGCCTGCCTGATCGCCCCTAATTGCCTCTGCTTGTCGGCCTG